GGCTCCCCGGTGCTGCTTGGAGCCAGCCTGACCCTGCAATGTGGCTCAGAGGCCGGATTTGACAGGTTTGCTCTGACCAAAGATGAGCAGTTCTCAGATCCCAGGAACCTGGATGCTCAGCACAGTCCCAACTTCACCCTGAGCCCTGTGCATGACTCCCACAGGGGCCAGTATAGGTGTTACGGTGGATACAGTCTCTCCAATGAGTGGTCAGCTCCCAGTGACCCCCTGGACATCCTGGTGGCAGGTTGGAGCCCCTGCCCAGCCTTACATCTCCACATGGTCTCCTCTGTGTGGGTCCAGGGTCTCCCCTGGTAGACATGGGGCCAGGGACATAGGGTACCCCAGCAGAGCTAAGATGGTGGTTTTGGCTGAAGAAGAGGGAGTGAGAAAAGGGAGAGTGGGTGACATGGGGTAAGAGAGTCCCACAGAGAGACAGAGGTATGAAACAGGGCTCCCAACAGAGCACCCCTAAAGAGGAGACAGTGGTCAGCTCAAGGGAGGTGGGGCCGGCTGGTTCCCTTAACACCCTGGTCTCCTTCTCTCACAGGAGCCTATGGGAAACCCTCCCTCTCAGCCCATCCCGGGCCCTCGGTGACCTCAGGGGAGAATGTGGCCCTGCAGTGTCTCTCAGCCGGGTCCTTTAACACATTCCATCTGTTCAAGGAGGGCTTCGTTGCCCCTCTACAGCAACTTCCTTGGTCAGGCATTCCTGGGCCCATTCAGGCCACCTTCATCCTGGGTCCTGTGACGTCAGCCCATGGGGGCACCTACAGGTGCTACACTTCACACACCGTGTTCCACAACCTGTTATCACAACCCAGTGACCCCCTGGAGCTGGTGGTCTCAGGTAAGGAACCCCTGACCCAGTCCTCTCTGGATCCTAATAGTTCAGGGCCCTGTCCCCAGGGACATCCTGGCCTGAGGTGTGAGGGAGGGAAGCTCTGAAGAGGGACTCAGCCCCCAAAGGGATGGAAAAAGACAGCGTAACTCCCACCCCTGTCTCATCATCAAGTGTGCTGGGTGGTGGGGGGCTGGACAGGATCAAGGAGAAAGGCCAGAGGTAGGACAATTGTCTTCCTCCCTAAATCCCCAATCCCTGCACCTTGTCATCCAAAGACCACAGTAAGAGGTGGTGAGTAACAAACACTGGGCCTGGCTGCCTGTGGACCTGCCCACTCAGCTGACTGAACCTTTCCTGCCCTCTCCAGCACATCTCCTATGGGGGGCTGGCTGGGAGAGGGGCAGAGGTGAGGGTGGTAACCCCAGGCTCCTGGGGTTCTGGGCCAGGGCCAGATGAGGAGTGTGGTGGTTACCACAGAGGGTGCTGTGGGGTCCAGCCTAAAGGAGGAGCCCCTCACCCTGTCCCACTCCCCAGGAGGATCCAAAGATCAACAGAGCACTACCATGGAATCAGACCCACTGAGCAGTAAGTGAGGGTCTGTCTTTTTAAAGGGAGGGAGAGTGGGAGTTCTGTGCTGACATATCCACTTCTTGAAATGGTGACTTTACAAGAGGCCCTTCCTTTTTCTTCCTGGGATTCCTGTCACCACTTGGAGGGGAAGCAGCCCAG